TTGTTATTAATTCCAACTAGAATTTCAAGAAAAAAATAGAGAAATTACAAATTTGGCCCCAGAACTTTTGCCGTTACTCACATTTGGTTCCAGGCACGCCATTTATGGTCCTTTTTGATTTTTCGTTGCCAAAACGGTACCACTCCGTCAAGACTTAACAGTCTTCTTCATTAAGACGTTAGTCGTTATTTTAAATTTGGAGAAAATTGAAAATTTGGTCCGAAAACTGTTGTTGTTTCCCACATTTGGTCCCAAGTAGTTCGAGAAGAAAAATCGAACGAAAAAAAAAAAGCTCACTTCGGGATTCTTGACCTCTCTTATGCTTTCAAATGTCATAGTGTCCTGTTGCCTTATGGATCGATATGCTTTCATTGTACAATCGTTCGGATGACTTTATTTTGCACTCAAGGATTTTTGGATTATTTTATCTATTCCCACCGGAAGAACACCATTGGATTCTCTTCCTTATTCTTTTTTTTCTCTTGTTTCTTTGCTTGTGTTCGGGCTTGTTTTCTTTTCTTATTTTCATTTATTGTTTTTCGTTCTTTTTTCTCGCATGAACTTGTGTGATTATGTGCTCTATCCTATGTTTTTTGGTCAAGCAATGAGGACATTGCTTGTGATCATGCATGCTTAAGCGGTATTTCTTTCATTTTAGGTGCTTTATTTTCGTATTTGTCGTGTCATGAACCGGTTTTTGTTGTTGTTTTTGTGTTTGTGTTTGTATCGATTTCCCCACATGAAGCTTGATGTTTGTTTAATGCCAAGATGGCTAAGTGGTGAGTTAAGATTTTCGCTCGGTATCATTGTTAATTTTCATGTTTTATGTACTTGATGAATTGGTCAGTTCCTTTAAAATTAAATGATTATTTGTTATCATTGGAACTCGCATTTAAATTCACGGAATTGTTTTGTCCCTTGTTTGTTCTCGATTGGTGATCTTGAAACATTCTTGCCTTGTGTTCGATCGTTGTAATCGTATTATGCTATACACTTGTGGTATGTCTTGATTGATTGTTGATGTTCATGTATTGTATCGTGGTGTATCCTTGTATGCCGCTCCCTTCGAAAAAAAAATAATAAAATGTGAGTTCGCTAGGAAGTACGGAATATGCTCCTCTTATTTCGATTCACTTCGTGAAATGAGATAATGAGCCCGAGAAACCGGTCTAGGAAACTCGAGGAAACCCCTCGAGGCTAAACCTAAATAATCATAGTCCAGAAACCTCGTGTGGAAAAAGATCACGAAAAAAAATGAATAAAAATGAGCTCAGGAGAGTTGAAAGGATTATACTCCGCTTGACCCCGTTAGTCTCTTTCGAGATAAATCGGGGCAATGAGTACGGGAAACCGGCCTAGGAGATTCGGGAAAAAACTCCAATGATAAACCTAGGTAATAATCGTCTTAACGACTCTCATTTGGAAAATTTACTCATATATATATATATATATATAAGAGAAAAAGAATAAACATGGGAAGTCAGCTAATCGTCTTAACTTTGTTTTGTATGGATTCATCTTGTGGGGACCGTGCCTTCGAATTTGAGTTTAATTTTGTGGATAACCGGCGGAAGACGAGAATTTCAATTTGCATGATTATTAATTTTGGACATGTTTGATTTTTCTTCTCGAACTATTTTTCTAGTACTACTTGGGACCAAATGTGGGAAACAACAAAAGTTTTGGGACCAAATTTGCAATTTTCTCCAAATTAAAAATAACGACTAACGTCGTAATGAAGAAGACTGTTAAGTCTTGACGGAGTGGTACCGTTTTGGCAACGAAAAATTAAAAAGGACCATAAATGGCGTGCCTGGGACCAAATGTGGAAAACAATAAAAGTTTTGGGACCAAATTTGTAATTTTCTCAAAAAAGTAATTCAAACGAAAAGTTTTTGTATTAATCTCTGTAGGAACTTTTCAATGGAAGTTATAACAATAAAATATCAAGAAATTTCGGTTGGAATATTTTTTTCATTAAATTTTCTGTTAAAATTTGACATTTTCTTGAAAGGAACGTCCATAGGTTCTTATAATGTGAAATTGATAATTGTCTTTATAATATGTATACTTCCACGGTAAATTAATTACTCCATCAGAAAAATCTTAATATGTTTTACTTTTCAAAAAAAAATAAAAAAAAAAAATAAATAAAACTATGAATAGTAATGTATCGTATTCTAGAATAGTTGAAAGTTAAAATGTAATGAAATGAAAAAAAAAAAAATATGTTATTGATTTATTTAGGTCGTTATATAATATTCAATTATTGAACCCACAAACTAACGAAGGCGCACAAAAAAAAGGTCCAAGAAATAGAATATAGTAAGTGAAATAAAAACAAAAGGAAAAAGGAGATGGCACATGTTGACAAAGGCCTTTCATCTCCACAAATCAACAACTCATGAAAAATGAGTTGCTTTCAAGTTTCAAGGCCATGTATCCAACATTATATTGGAATAAGATCTAATTTTGCAAATTCACTCAAGATTATATGTTTTATTCCTATCCAACTTTTATGTTTTATTCTTATTTTGTTCACTGTTCATTCTCATTCCATCATACTTCTAAGAACATAATTTAAAAGGAAGACATTTTTAAATTTTCAAATAAGTACTGCATCTATGACATCCGATCTATCTTAACATCTGCAGCTATTATATATGTCTAATCATTGGAAACGCACATTTTCAACAAAAATATGTGTTTCATTATAAAATTTTAAATGTAATGAGTTAACTTATGTAACAACTAATCCTACTAACAACATTGTTTGTGCAACTCAGACTTAATGTTTCATGAATTTAAACCATTCAGGTATAAGCGCTTTTGTAACTCAGACCTAGTTTCACGGAGTTTAAATCCATTTTGTATGTAGACCCAAATGATGATATGGAGTTTAAATCCATTTTTTTTTTTTCTTTATAAAAAAATATATTTTTTAATGTCAAATTAAAATATTTTTAATATGGTTGTCTTTATGAAAAAGGTTTCAAAAAATGGTAAAGAAATGTGAATTAGCAAAAAATTGAATACTTATACACGGATCGGATCAACAGGTTATCTATTTAATATAGATAGATTAGCAACGGTTGGCAACGGGCCAGTTCATTTTTACTGGTCTAATGCTGTGTTTTATCCAGCCCACTAAGTGAAACCTAACAAGCCCATGAAAGTCCAAACCCTTCTCCTTCGCAGAAAAGAACAATCGAATCGAATCCAAACCCCTACTTATGCAATCACAAATTCGTATGCTCATTTCAGAAGTACAGTTGGGGGAAATTAAGAATTCAAAACCTCCCTGAATTTTTATCGGAGAACATTCTCAGAAACATTTTCTTTTGCCCCTGAACTTTTGTTGTTGCCGGAAAATGGATCCCAAGCACTCAGGAGATGTGTTCAAGTATTTTTTTTTCTACGCCTATAGAATTTTTTAATTTTTTGTTGGTATTTTCATGAAAATAGTTAATTTTCTTAATGCTATATTTAATGTTTGGTAGGCATCTTGAGAAGCAGAAGGGGCTCCTGATGGATGTATATAAGTCGATGTCGGATGAATTGCACACGCTACAGGTTTTTAATTCCATAATTCATCTCAAAATTTTAACCATATCTGATTGTTTATCCTTTTCCATTATCGAGTTTTTATGATTTTTATGATTTGATCATTATTCATTGG